AGCTGTGATAGCCAGCCTCCCCACCCCCAGCAGACCTGGCCCTGGCCCTGAGTACACAGAGGGGGCCGGAGTGGGGAAGGAGCTGGGCCCTGCACTGGGCCCCACTCAGTTCCTCTGTGCAGGTGGCCAGGCAGGCTGGCCTATGAGGATATTCTAGAAAGCAGAAGAACCAGAAAGCAGGCCTGTGTGCCAGTCCCCCTGGCCCATTCAGTAGCTCTGTTCCTGCTTCTTGTCCCATTCCTTCCAAAGCTACCTCTGTTCTGACCAATGAGCCTAGGCAAGGGCTCCCCAACCTATCCCCTCACCTCCAGTCCTCAGCTTCTGCTGGCCCCCCCACCTGTGAGGCTCAGGCTACGGTCACCGCAACCTATTTCTTGACTATTGCTGCACTTGACCTCAGGGGCTCAGGGTCATGTTGACCACAGCTGCCTGTTTACCCCTCACCAATGCCTCTGCAGCCCCCCTCAGGGCTGGTTGGGGTCCCCGGGGCCTCCCTTCCCACTCTGCACTTGATCCTGGGTAATCTGTCTGCCCATGATTTTGGGGACTCTCTGCCACCAGCCATGACCTCATATCTGCAGCACCTGCAGGGTCATCAGCTCTTCACTGCAAAGGCTCTGTTCCTACCATATCAGTCAGAAAACTTCGCCGCCCCCGTCTGCCCTGGCAGCCCAGCCCCACCCTTCCTGGCTCTCATACCACATCACAGATCTGGAGTCTGTCCACCATCACCCCCCCACCCCCTCCCCAGCCTTTCCCAGGCTCCCTGCTGTGCCCCCACCATGGATGTTAGGGGCCTCCTTCACTTCACAGGTGAGGCTCGGAGGAGACAGAGCCCCTGGGTCACACAACCTGACTCCAGCAGGCCTGGGGAAGGAATCCAGGGCATTACTGTCTGCAATATTTTAATTACTGAGGGGAGGGGGGCAGGAATATGGTTAACAAGGCCCTAGGGACCAGCAGAACCAGATGCTGGAAGTCCCAGGGGGTCAGGTGACTCAGCAGAAATGGAGGGGTCTGTGGGGTTTGACAGAGTGCCAAATTCTCACCTCCCCTTGCACCTTCCAGAGAGGCTACAATGAATGAATGAATGAATGAACAGAGGGGATCCAGAAGTCTTCATGGCGGCCTGGGTCCAGGGCTGCCAAAAAACAGGGTTGGCAGCACCCTCAATCACACACACACACACACACACACACACACACGGGCACAGAGCTACATAGAACCTAGGCCCCTGTGCGCTCAGGGGACACAGGTCCCCGGGGCTACCTTGCCATCTCCCTCTCAGCCCAGCCTGGATTCACACCAGAACCGCCCTCCCCACAATTTGCTGGGGAGGCCCCCAGGGCACCCAGAGTCCTAACTAGGCCCTAGGGTCCGGTGAGAACAGCATGCTGAGCAGAGGGATGCTGCCCACAGTGCACTGCCCATGACCCTGTGATGGCCACAGCCAGTTGTATGGGTGAAGGCACCGGGGTGAAAAAGGATGGAGTACAGTGGTGAGGAGCGCCAGCACAAGTGGGGAAGGTGGCAAGGACAGGAAAGCCAGCAAGGATGACTACGAGGGTCTTGAATGCCAAGCTGAGGAGGTGCATGGGCTGACCAGGGTGGGTGGTAGAGGCCCTGCCCTACCCAGGACCCTCAGCCCCAGACTCATTCACTCATCTACTCCTGCCTCCAACATCCCGCATGTTTAGTACCTCTGAAAACTGAGTGACCCAGTCGGCCGGTGCTCAGGGCCCCCTACTGTGGATCCAGGTGGACAGAAAACAGAGCCATTTAAACATGGGGGCGAGGAGCCTGAGTCACCTGCTGGGGGCTGGGGTGGCCAAGGAAGGTTGTCCTGCAGAGGAGGGATGAGTGGGAGCCGCCAGGCAAATGGTGTGTGTGTGGGAGGGGGGCATTCCCAGCAGGAGAAACTGCCTGAGCAAAGGCCCAGAGGGCTGAGGTTGTTGGGTAAAAGAAGACATGTCCGGAACGCAGTATAAGGTGGGCTGGGACATCCAGTGGCTGAGGACTGGGGCACAGCAGAGAGCCACCCAGACCCCTGAAGAGCTTGAATGGGGGCGACCACGAGGAGGACAGATTCCTGCAGCTGTAGGGGTGGGGGCAGAGATAATAGCGACCTGGACTATGGTATAGAAGGGGGAGCCCTAGCGGTGAGGAGGACTGGGAACTGGCGGGTCCATAACCACACCTGCCTTTCCCTGACTGTGAGGGGACAGCTGTTTAGAGTACAGGGTGCAAGCCTGGTTCCTGACTCTGGTCTGGGCGCCTAGGCTTCTGCAGCCTTCATTCCACATCCTGTCAGCCCCTGCCCAGAAGCCAGTCCAAGCTGCTCAACCCACCAACACAGCGCAGTCCCCTAGAGCAGGTCCAGCACACTCAAGCCTACCGGCATTGCCCCGCCGGGGGTCCCCTGGGTCTCCATCCACCCGCCCACCCCCCCTGCCCTACTGGAGTTCCGGGCCCCAGGCCAGATTCCCCGAGGCCTCGGTCGTTCCCACAGCCGTCCCCGGGGGCCCTCTCCACGGAGCGTCGCTGGGGCCCCAGCGGTCGCTAGGCTGCCGGCTGGGACTCCCGACCAGGCCCGGCTCCGGTGGCGGTGGCAGTGGCGGTGCGGATGGCGGCGGAACCCGGGCGTCCGTGGGTGCAGGCGCGAAGTGCGTACCGCGCGAGCGAGGCGCTGCGACGGGCCGTTGGCCGCCGGCGAGACCACGGGCCGCAGCCCAAAGGGCCGGACCCTGAAGAAGCCCGCGCCCCGGGACGCCTGGCTCCCCTGCGGGGCCAGCTCCGGGCGGAGGCAGCGGCGCGAGCCGACGCGCCTCGGCTGCTGCGGCTAGTGGAGCGCGCAGGGGCCGCAGCGGGTGAGGCCCGGGCGCCGGAGGCCGCGGAACAAGCGGACGCGCGCAGCAGCGGCTCCATGTGCTCCGTGTGCGGGGAGCCGCGCGGCGGGGCCACCTACCCGGCCGGCGTCCTGGAGGTGAGCGAGCGGCGGCTGCAGGAGGGCCTGGCGGCTGTGCGCGCCGAGCTGGGCGTGGGGCTGGAGGCGCTGCGCGCGGAGCTGCGAGCCGAGCTGGACGCCCTGCGCCAGCTGCTGCCACCTCTGCCGCCACAGCAGCCGCTGCCGGCCCGCCGGGAGCCCCGCGCCGCCCCTCGCGCCGCTCCCCACGGCCCCGCCCTGCTGCGGGCACTCGGCACGATGAACGCCCTGGCCGCGGTCGCGAGGCCAGCCGACGACGCCCCTGACGGCCCTGCGGACGGTGGCGCGAACAGGGCCCCGGCCAGGAAGAACTTCAAGAAGACGCCGGTGCCGCCCGGGGCCCCGCAGGGCGGCGGGGATTGAGGGCGGCCCCGCCGAGGGTTGCCGGGACCGGATGCTGGAAGCACCTTTGGGCAATGTATTTGTATGGACAGATCCAACACCCCCGTGGATGGAGAAGGGGCCTCAGACACCGCCTGCTAGCGTTCAGGCTTTGGGGTTGGGCGTCGGCGTGCGCGGAGGCTGGGGACTCCTGGGGATCACGTCTGGGGAGTGCAGATGGCTAAGCACAGCGCGGGGCTCAAGGCTGGAGACTGAGTCTGGGCAGGAGGAGGGGTGGAGCCCCTTTTGGCTCAGAGCTGCAGAAGGGTCTGGGTCAGGAGTGCAGCAGCCCCCGGGACAGCCTCCGGGAGAGCCCAAAGGTCTGTGTCAGGGAAGGGTGTTGGTTTTTCCTGTTCTGTGGTTTTTGTTTGTTTTTCTTAGGGGCCTTGGCCAGGAGGCAGGGCCTCCAAGCACTGAGATAGTGTGTGACCCACACATTACCCAACAGATTTTAGGGACACGTGGGTGGCTGGGACATCGTCATCTGGACACAGCCTCACTCAGGGCAATGCCTCGGGGATATACAACCGCAGTCCACAGGGCTTCAACTGGACAGTAGCCTGGCCCTGGCCAGCCTCACTCTAGTGACAGACCCAGCCTCTCACTGGACAACTTTGCCGGCACACAGTGGCATCTAGTCTGAGCTTCGCTGTGGACGGTGACACCAATGACACTTAACCCTTCAGTTCACCTCCCCACAGGCTCTCCGGAAAGTGTCACCCTACGCTCAGGCTGCACAGCGAAACTTCCCAGTGTCACCTGGGCGCAGTTTCACTAGCTGTCCTTGTCACCAGGACCCACTCACCTAGCACAGCCTGCAGCAGAGCCCGGAGCCAGTAGCTTCTCACCTCCTGGCCACAGGGAAATGTCCGCTGAAGTCACCATTTAACACATACAGTGGCCTGGGGTCAGTCAGCCAGCTTGTTTTTTAAAATAAAATGTGTCGGGGCACCTGGGTGGCTCAGTTGGTTAAGCGGCTGCCTTCGGCTCAGGTCATGATCCTGGAGTCCCTGGATGGAGTCCCGCATCAGGCTCCCTGCTCGGCAGGGAATCTGCTTCTCCCTCTGACCCTCCCCCCATCTCATGTGCTTTCTCTCTCTCTCATTGTCTCTCTCTCTCTCTCTCTCAAATACATAAATAAAATCTTAAAAAAATAAATAAATAAATAAATAAATAAATAAATAAATAAATAAATAAAATGTGTCATCTTAGACTTTAGCAGGTGGTGTTTCTACGGCCTGCTAGTTTTTCTCCTTGGAAATGGGGGCACCTTCTCCCTCTCAGGGGAATCTGAGGAGGTCTGGTGTTCTGGGTGGGGGTCTGGGACTGGCTGTGATGGGGTAGGGGAGGGCCGCTCAGGGGTCTCCCCGTTGTAAGGCACACGGAGGCCTCAGTGGGGTTAGGGCAGGCGGAGAGGCAGTGAGCTCCCACCCCACCCCCACAAGATACCTGAGGCCAAGGTCACTCCGTGCATCGTTTATTGTGGGAAGGGGTCGAATCTGGCTCCTAGGGGCTCTGCCAGAGCCACAAGCTGAGCCCCAGGCCCAGCAGAGCCCCGTGCACACTGGCTAGGGATGGGGCGGGGGCCAAGGCTGCCTTACTGATGATAGTGCTGGGAGAGGCCAACACCCTGCGCCCCTGGAGAGGCTGCTGTGGTGGAAATTCTCCTTGAGCGGTGCGGGGCTCGAGCCCGAGAGCCCGGCCTGGGGCACAGTCTGGAACTGGGCCACCTGAGGGTTAGTGGCAGAGACAGGTCAAGACGTGGGCTGCCCTCAGCTGCGGGAGGGAGGGAGGGAGGGAGGGGGGAGGGCCGCACTGCCCAGGGAAGGGGTGGTGGGCCCACTTGCGCGCAAGATGGGTACCCTGTCCTGTAAGACCATCCAGACATCCGCAGGCTGGCAGCTGGGCGTGGTCAGCGACCCTGAGTAGCGATGGTAGCAGGAGAGGCCGGAGGCATCCTGCAGCAGCGAGGCCCGCGGGAAGGTGGGTGCCAGATTCACCAAGATCCCTGGGCGGGGGAGGGGAGGCGGGATTGGAACGGGCGTCCCTGTGCCCAGCCGGCCCCAGCCTCCAGTACCCCCAGCCCTGGATGCGACCCCGTGGCTCCTCACCACACTGGGACGTGTTCTTCAGGGCTGATACAAGGGTGGAGAAGTTGCCTTGTCAGTGTCCTGCTCCTGGGGAGGAGACTCCAAGTGAGAGGGGCTCTGAGTGGACAGGTCTCCAAAGGGGGAACTCTGAGGGGATCTAGGGGGGATTGTAAGTGGCAAGAGGGTAGGCTCCCAGTAGGGGTCAGCTGGGACATCTGCTGGGGGGAAGGTCAGCCCCCACTGACCCAGCAGCCCCAGGACCTCCGGCTGGCCCCCATTCTCCCACAGAACCCTTTAAATCCTACAAACCTTATGCACTCCCCCAACAGCTCCACTAAGACTCCATCGACAGGCCCACGCTGTCCCCCTTTGCAGACGTCTTTCCGGGAAGCACAAGGAGTCACAGAGCTCCTCTGTCCCTCCCTCACTACCGGGAGTCACATGACCCTCCCTCAGCACCAACAGCACTGTCAGCAAGGCCAGCCCATCAGGGTGACTTCGCACCTCCCCCAGGCTCAGGTACCTCGTGTTCATGTGGAGCACGTGCATCTGGAGAGGCACAGATCATGAGAGGTATGGGCTGCCCCTTCCACAGGGCACCCCACCACCCTAGCCCCTGCCCAAGCCCAGCTCCATGGGGCGGCACTGCCCATCCTGGCTGTGCTTGGAGCCTCCTCACCCAGGCCCCCCAATGGAAGTGCTGCTGCAGGGCGTGGTAGGCAGGCAGGGGCAGCCTGTTGCCCCGAATCCCCAGGCGGCTCTGCGGGCCAGTGTCCATGCGGAGCAGCACTGAGGATAGGGCATCGCGTGACTGTCTCTTTCCCCTCACCACCCACCCTCGGGCTATTAGGGCCCAGGGTGCCAGCACAGGTCCCCTTCAGGCCCATCTGCTCCCTGGCTGGGTTTCCATGGAATCAGGACCTCATTTGGTGTCCAGGCCCCTCTGCGGGTCAGCAGACTGCAGGGCTAATAACCCACCCTGCAAGGACGGGGGAGAGGGTGGCCCCCCTGTGGCTCGAGTTTTGACCCACCACAGCTGTGTGTGATACTGGGGGGTTGTGATGACTTCTCAGGCATCCTGATGCTGGGCAGGGGGAGGGGGGGACGGGGCTCTGACTTCTGGGAATGTCCTGACTTCTGGTCCTAGGAGCAATGGCTGATTGCTATTGTTAGGGGGGGCCCTGACACCTGTATACGGGGGTGCATGACCCCTGTTGGGGGTGTCTTTACCAACACGTGTGGACCTTCCTGTGCTGACTGTGGAGGTTTTGATCCCTGTGTGTGTGGGGGGGGGTAGTTCCCACTCCCAGGTGGGTTCCTGCTCCTGTCTGGGGGCGGGTCCTGGTCGCAGGACTGACCTGTATGGCCATCATTTTCCAGGGTCCATGGGCCTGGAGGTGCTGAGTTGTAGCCTTGGAAGATGAAAGGTCCCAGGGTGGGGTCCCGCTGGGCTAGGTGAAGGTCAATGTTGATGGGGGACTGGGCTGGGCCCCCACAAGCCAAGGCCATCTCCATCCAATGGGTGGGGCCTGAGGGAACAAAGCCAGGGATCTGTGGGGGAGCAGGGAGGCAACTTGGGGGTACACAGAGGAAGGCGGTGCTCCTTCCCACACATACGGAGAACTGCCCAGCCTCAGGAAGCTCGTGCCTGCCCCCCACACACACCTAGACAGGTCACAACTGCCACACACACCCTGACCTGGCCAGACCACAATGTTTGCAACACTCTCACACAGGGAGGCACCACCTGGGCTGGACCATACTCTGACAGTCGCCTGCAGGTAGCCTGCCCCACAGGGAACGGGGTTAGAACGGTCTCCTGGCACAAGGGTCCCAAGCTGGTCCCACACTGGGCACCTGTACCACCTGCTCACACATGGGCTGGCCACATTGACTGGCTTACAGGCCCCAGCGATACGAACAGCTTGGCACATGTGGCAGGACTGGAGGTCACACCAGCAGCAGACCCGGACACTCATGCAGGGGGCCGGTCACACACATGCCACCTGGTGCCCATACAGCCACTGTGACCCAGGACTCCAGACAGAAACCTGCAGAGACCACAGCAGCTCAGCATGCACATGGCTTTTGGGTCATGCTAGCACCAGACTGTCTAGCGGTCGCAGGACAAAGACATCCCACACAGCCTCACATGACACTCTGTCCTCACCACACTTCGGGTCCTGGGAGTCGTAGCACCAGGTGCCTGCAGACAGCGGACGGGACTGAGACGGGGCACAGCCATCTGGGTCCTCTCCGAGCTCCAGCCCAGCCAGGGTCCGGGAATGGGGGTGCAGGCCTTAGGCCAGAGGAGGCTAGCACAGACCCTGCTCTTCTGTCCCAGACCCCAACATCTCCTTCCCCAAGGAAACCCCCCAGTGGCAGGGTTTAACCGGGAGAAGGGGGAGCTACAAGGGAGCGTAGATTCTAGGACAGACAGGGCGCAGGTGCTCACCCTCTGTGTCCCCGCACACCACCAGTGGCGCAGTGAGGAAGGCGAGTGCAAAGCCCGGGGCCATGCTGCCACAGCCACTGACTCCAGAGGGCTGGAAAGTGCCAGAGGACAGTGGGCAGGCGAGGAGGCTGTTTGTTAGTGGGGCGGGCTAGGGGCATGGCTGTCTTGTGGGCTCCCTGGCCGGCCCCTGCAGAGAGGCTCTGAGTGGGTGGTGTCCAGGCCGGGCCACCGGCAGGGAAGACAGAGGTCTGAGATCACCAGGCACAGGCCCCGATGCCAGGGCTGTGGCTGTGTGCCAGCAGCAATCGCTGGCACTCACTGGAGCAAAGCACTTTAAGGGGATTCTCTCAATTCCTGGAGGTGGCGCCACGATGCCCATTTAAAGATGAGGAAATGGAGGCTGGGGGCCAGGAGTGACATGCCAAGGCCACCAAGCAAGGACAGATCAAAGGGGAGGGCACCTTGAATCCCAGTGCTCTTGGCTTTTGAGGCTGGGGTGGGAGGGTGTTCTTCCCCTATTTTGTGGGCCTGGGACCACTCCCTGCCCCAAGACCATAGCCTCTCTTGTACAGGTGTCCCCCTGCACACCTGGGGCGAGGCTTCCTTTGGGGGATCATGCTACCATCTGGGAAGCCGCAGCTCTCCCACTCTGCCTCCACCCCCCAGGTGGGGACTTCAGGCTTCCGCAGCAGCTCCTGAGGCCCTGACCCCAGACTGTGGCCTGAGCCTCAATTCCCTCAGTTTGCTCTCCTGGAAAGTGGGGCTGATTTCTCTGTCCCTTGGTGTAACCGGGAAGGTAACGGTTTGGAAAGACGCTGTATCTGGGCACGTGTGTGCCTGTGGACGTGAGCACGACTGGGACAGTGGGGTGAAGGGAGGGCGGTAGGGTGGGGTGATACCTCTTTCCAACCTCCAGAGAGCCAGGCTCTTCTCACTTTGGGGAAGGGGTGTTGTCAGCAATGCTGATGGCACTCAGGACCCCTCAATGCCCCAGCAGGTGTGTTCAGGAATGAGGGACCTGTCCTCAAAGCTCCTGTCCCAACCAAAGGACGCCCTGTTCCTTTCCTAACCCTGGCCCCTCACCCATCCAGCCCTTGGGCCCCCAATGCCTGGCCTGGAGCCAACTGCCACGATGCTGGGTTAGAGGTTGAATCCCCTGGACACCCCTTTGTTCCTCTATCACAAACTGGAAAATTACTGAGAGGGCGATGGTCAGAGAGCAGAAGGCACAGGGGCATCTTGGAGCCCAGCGCCTGGCCTGGCTTGCACAGATGCTCCAAACCCTCCAACCACCCATCCCCACCACTGCGTCTTGCAGCCCCAACTTGGCTGGAGCCTCCTGTACCCACTTGGGTCACACCAAGGACTGACCACACCTCTTCCAGAACACAAATTTATTTGGCATTTGGATGAAATGGTTCTCACAGCATCTTAAGAAAAGGATTAGTGCCAACCCAACCAAAAGTAACCCCAAACTAAAAACCCTTAGTGAAAGGAAAACAAAAAACAGGCATCGAGACAATGTACAGTATCAACTCCTTACTCCACCAGGTAAGTCAGGCCCCGGGGGGAGGAGGCCCCTCCCAAGAGCTTGGCCCGTACCTCTGGGGGCCCAGTCTCTCCCAGGAGCACGAGAGTCTCAGGGCTGGCCTCGGGATTCTTCATTGGACCGTAGAGCACAGTCAGATCTTACACAGGGTGGCAACCGGACAGGAGGCTGAGGACAGCCAGGCAGACCCCAGCTCCCCCCCCATGTTCCCCTCAGAACCGCTGTCCACTGGAGGTCAGCTCCCGGGCACCAACTCCTGCAGACACAGCAGGCGGGGGTCTGGAGAAGCACTGCTCACAGGCCTTCTGCCCAGCCATGGACGCCGACGGGCTGAGCACCCTGGTGCTGGGACAGAGCCTGGGCCGGTCCAGAAGCAGGCCCAGCATCTCAGGTCCCTCCCTCCTCGATGCCTCCCGCATGCCTAATTGGCCCCAGCAGTCCTTCAGTCCCCAGAGGGAGTTCCCCAGTCCCATGCACCTTGTACCAACCATCCTGTCCTCTACACATGGTTCTGAGACGTGGGGCCAGAGACCTGGGAGCTGTGAAGGCCTCTCAGCTGTAGAGGTCAGGCCCCTCTGTGCTCCGCCGCGGTGGTCACTCCAAAGCAGACACGCTCAGGACACTCACCTGGCACCAGTAAGACCCGTGATTGCTGCTCTAGCCCTCAGCTGCCCGGAGCCCAGGCCGCTGGCGGCCCAACACGCTTCCTGCTGTCTTCAGCAGCCGGTGTGGGCCACATGGGCCCAGGAGGCCTTTCTCGAAGTAGCAGCCCTTTGGCAAGGGGAGCTCAGGCCTGTATGGCACACAGCCCACCTGCCTGAGGCCTGCCTCCAGCACTCTGGATCCTGTGAGCCTGGACAGGCTGTTCAGAATTTACACCTCTGGCGGGCTCGGGGGATGACAGTTCTGTAGGGCAACTCAAAAATCTCATTCCACACTGGAAGAACACAACGGGTTTCCAATGGGAGAGTGTGAGAACGCACCACCGAGGTCTGTCACCACAAAGCCCCACAGAAGCACCTACTTCTATTCAACCCTCCGTTCACTGCATGCTGGTCTGGAAAGGCTCCACGGGGGACCAGGAGCAGGGCTCCATGCTCTCAGCCTCTGCCTCAAGGGTGGAAGTGCAGACCTGGCCATGACTCAGTGCCACCCCTGAGGCCACAGCTGGCCTGGGAAACTGGGGCCTCATGCCCGAGTTCTGGTGTACCGCCATCACCTGCAAAACTTGGACACATACGTACACACACACAGATACACGCGCACACACAAAAGGAAAAAATCCAGACATTCAACGTAGAAAAGATATGGATGTGCTAAAAATCGCACAGAACCCGCTTAATCTCCAAACCTCAGAAATGCTAAAAGCCCCATGTCAGGAGACAAGACCACTACCCAGGAGCAGGCAATCGGGTCTCTTCGTCCAAAGGCCCCTGGGCAGGGTACCCTGCACCCCAAGCTGCTGAGGAGCACGGGAAGGTGGCATGCGGCCACTGGGCACTCGGCCCCAGTGGTGATAGTGTGCAAGTGGACTTTCAGGAGATGGACACAGCCCGGGGCATTCATTTCAGCCACCCCTCCCCACAAGAAAGAACCCCTTATGGCACAAACAAGATGGGGTGAGGGGCAGGCCAGGCCCAGGGGCAAATTCAAAAGGACTGGGGGCTCCAGAGGGTAGCAGATAGGAGCCGGCTTAGCCCCCAACCCCCAACAGAGGATCCAGGGCCAGAACACTCATGCCTGGCTAAGGGTCTTGGCCCAACTCCAGGGTTGCCTCTTGGGGGAGCCATGCACAGCAATGCTGGGGAGAAAAATGACAGGGTGGTGCCAGGGCCTCCTGGCACAGAACTGGGCTTCGCAGTGGAGAGTTCAACCTCCTTCCAAGACCCCCTTCTCAGGATCTCAGGAACCAGCGGTCCAGGCCAGCTCCCAGCCCGGGGCAGGGTCACCCTTGATGTTCACAGTTGGGGTTGGGGGATCCTCAGAGCAGTCACTGTGTAACCTCCAAAGCCGTCTACCCTGAGGCAGACCAAGTGCCCGGACAACACTGACAGTCCACAAACACAGCGGTGCCTGGAAGCGCCCCTCCCACCTCCTGGCAGCCCAGGCTCGGTGGCCATTTGGCAGGCTCCTCTGGACGGCATCCTGCGGCCAGCAAGCCCACCAAAGCCAGGTGTGGTTTGGCCCCTGTCCCTGCCCACAGTGCCCTCTTTGTTCCCTACTTCTGAAACGTGTCGTCTGAGTGAACTTCGTCATTCTTCTGCCATTTGAAAAGAAACAGACAGGGCCCGACAGCTATGCATGTTTCTGGAGCCCCTCCAGGAGACCCGGTGCAGGTGTCTGCTCTCTCAGGAGGCCAGTGCGGTGTGTGCGTGCACACGCACGCCATCGGTGGGTGTGTGGCCGTGCAGCTGGGTCCAGGCTCACTCAAAGGCCCTGTAAGTCTCCCGTGGGGATCAAGGCGTTCTTGACAGCAAGACAGCAAAAAGGTGCTCTCCGCCCGTCAGGGCCATGGGCCAGGCCGTCCTCTACACCACGGTACTGAGGGAACTGTGGCTGTGGCAGCCACCCCCTGGCAGCACCTCTGTGGCCGCAGTGCTCCCACTCTGGCCAGGGTCAGGGGGCACAAGCAGGGCACTGCTGCTGTCGGCCGAGTCTTCCAGGTCGGCCAGAGAGGCCCCTGCAGCGGGCAGAGGGTGCTCCAGGCACCGGGGGGAGGCACCTTCACCGCTACCATCCCCTGGGGTGGACGGCCTGGCCTCTGCTGGCTCAAAGGCATCGTCGTCTGCAAGGAGACAGAAGGGTGTCAGCAGGATGGTGGGTTTGGCCCAGGGGAAGTGGGTGGGCTGGACAGAACCAGGGGACGCTCCTCCTGTGTGAACGCTCCCACCATGGTGGGAATGGGGAAAGCAGTGCTCACCCCTCACCTTTGCAAGGGGCAGGCGAGGTACAGGGGTACAGTTATGAGCGGGACATACTTTGCGAGTCAGCAGAAGAAAGTCAGGGGAGAGGGAAAATCCTCTCAGACTTGGTGGGAGTCAAAGCCGGAGTCAAACCCCCCGTGACGTGAGGGGGTTACTGGGCTGGCGGCATCCAGGCCGTGGCTAGAATACGGGGATGAGCATGCAGGAGGCAGGGCCGTGGCAGGCAGCTCCGCAAACCTCACCGGGGTCTGCAGAAATCCCTGGTTTGAGGGAGGCTTTGTGGCAGCCCACTCCCTTCAATGTGCCTGCTTATTACCCCGGCCCTCTCCGAAAGCTTGGGGCGTGGGGGCCCAGCGTGCCCCTTTCGGCTGCCTGGCTACCCCCAGGCTCAGCAGTCCTGTTACCCTGCCCTGGGGAGCATGTGCTCCCTTAGAGCACGCTCCGTGCAGGCATCTGGGACCTGCTACCCCCCGGCGGCATCCCTGGCAGGCAGCCAGTTCTACCCTGAACCCACCAAACAGCAGACGGGCAATCCGTGTGCGCAGGGGTCAAATCCAGATTTGCCCACAGACCACAGAGGGGCGGTCTCGGTCCCAGTGAACACAGCCCTGCTGGCCCCATGACCCCCGTTCTGCTGGGGTACGTGGGTGTGCAGGGAACCGGCCACCTTGGAGGAGGGCACTGCCCGCTGGTGTACTTCATGGGGTCGTGTGTGTGAGACGGTGTTAACACACCGGCAAACGGGATGGGACGCCTGAGCTGCACACCAGGCACAGGGACAAGCCAGGCAGTGGGTGAGGAACCCAGCATTCCCTCTGTGCTACACGGCCCTGTGGGGAATGAGCTTCCACGGTGTCAGATGGACGGACAGCAGATTCAAGTCATCGGGCCAACATCACAGAACCAGTGCTTTCTTCACAGAACTGCTTCCAGACAGGAGGGAATGTCATGATGACGTCTCTTCAGCTCACCACATGTACACATGTGTCTTTATGGCCAAGCAGTTGGCTCTGGGTGGGCCCCTGCAGCTCTGGGCTCGCCCTGACCCCACAACTACCAGCACCCGGCTCCCCAGCTCTCTGCAGAGCCCAGCTGGGTGTGCCCCAAGGGCTGCTTGCTAACAGGTGTTCACGGGAGGAAGGTGTGCTCATCTGCACTGGCAACCCCGGGCAGAGCCCGCCTACTGACAGACGGTGGTTCCTTCCACCTAAAGGGTAACCCAAGGGGAAAGCAGAAGGCCAGGAAGAAATGGAGGTTCAGGGCCTCATGGACTGGGGAGGAGGACCACCGGGCCCCTGGTTAGTGACGTGCTGCTCCCTTTCCCGGGGGTGGGGGAAAGCACCTGCGGGATCGTAGAACACACTATCAGGGTTGACGGAGGCCTCATAGGGCGGCGGCGGATCATCAGGCTGATCGATGTCTGGGTACTTGTATGCAGTGTAGGGAGGCGGAGGGTCGTGGAAGTGGAACGTGCCGCCTTCCCCGTCGTCAGAAAGGTGTAGTGGCGTGAGGCCGGTGCCGAACCCATCTGGGCCATAATCAAAGCCGGGGATCCTCCGGCCGAGATTGAAGTGGTGCACTGGGCAACCGCAGGGAGAGACAAGCCAACACAGCCATGTCACTCAAAGATGTGCGGCTCAGCCCCCGAGTCCCCCACCCTCTCCCGAGGCTGGACCTGCCACCCCCAGGCCCAAGGGATCAGGCATCCCGACTGTCACACTTGTGTGCCCAGCTGCCTACACGAGCGCCCTGAATCTCTCACCTGGACCCCCTCCTTCAGTGCACGCCTGGCTCTCACCCACGTGTAAGCCATCACTAC